TTTTTTTTAAGGGCGATGACCTTGTCTTATTAAGTTATTACCATCGGACTAACCTGGGGCGTGGAGTCCTGGAGGCTGGACCCACTAGCGAAGTCTTCTACGACATGTGACACAGTTTTATCAACTTTTATGGTTTTTCGAAAAATACAAAGTCACCTGATAGCCTTAGGGTGGCCTGATAGGCTGTGATAGCCTTTTCAGCCAAGGGTGGTCTGATAGCCTTAGGGTGGCCTGATAGCCTTAAGGTGGCCTGATAGCCGTAGGGTGGCCTGATAGCCTTAGGTTGGCATGATAGCCTTTTCAGCCTTAGGGTGGCCAGATAGCTCGGGGTGGCCTGATAGCCTTAGGGTGGCCTTTTCAGCCTTGGGGCAGGAAGCTGGTGGCCTCTCTCTCTCTCTCTCTCTCTTTTGTTGGTGTGTGGAGTTAGCAAACGGTGTGTGGAGTTAATCTTGCCCTTTTTTTTTTCCGTTTATTTTCCCTCTTTCCCTCTACCACCCGCCTATTCCCCAGCCGTCCCACACCAGTCACACTGTTCCACATACGTGGCTAGTGGGATCGCCCTCCTGGAATCGGAAGTTCCGCCTGTGGAACGGTTGCCTTGTAGGGAACATTGTCATTTTTTTGACAAGGGACAGAGAACATCGGTGTTTTTTTTTTTTGCCTCCGAGTTCTGAGTTTTTTTTGTTGTTCTTTGGTTGTTTGTTTTTTTRTTTCATGTCGTCTTGTGTTTTCCCTCTGATGTCCAGGTGTTCTGCACTTTGCGTTCATCGTTTTTGCCTGTTTCATAGCATTTCTTTGCCGCTCTAACGCCGACTTCGATCTCTGTTGCGAGTTAGCAACATTCTCAGAGGGTTCCGACATCGTCTTTTTTTTTCGCGGTTGGCGACTTTCATCATGTCGCAGGACCGGGGGAAGGATCCGCTAGACTCGCTCACGACCGCCCGACAAACTCATAACACGAAGACGTTTGACTCGCCGTTCAAGGTCGACCCGACAGTCGACGGCAAGCGGGACGACCCGGTGTGGCATTTCGTGGCCAGAGGGCGTTATTTGGATGGGTCGACGGCGGCGGGCAGGAAGAGCGGTCGTCGATGCCTGTGCAGGTTGTGCGGGCGCTAAAGCCGCCCAGAAGCACTTCTCGAAGAGCGAGAAGTTCCGATGTGAGGCAGCCACTCCTGCTGTGTGGAATGTGATCTGGTCGAAGGACATGACAAAATGTCCAAAGGAGTTCGCGTCGGCCATAGAAACGTTGCAGAGCCACTTGCTAGGTCATCCGAGCTTGCAGTGGCCACCTCTTCGATTCCCCGAGGACGCAGTGCCGCCGCTGGTTCCTCCCACCGCCCCTTCTGGAGCGGTCGCATCGCCCAATTCTGGGGCTCCGACCATTCGAGTCACAGTACCGCGTCCTGCAACAACAGTTGCAACACGACCGGCAGCCCCGCCATCTGCGCCGCTGGCTGGGACACGAGGTGCTCGCGATGTGGGAGTTGGTCGTTCCACGCCAGCCAACGAGCCCCCGCCTCTGAGGGATGGTGTGGGCTCTGTGGCATTTGACGAGGAGAGCACACGTGCATTTATTGAGAGTCGCAGGTGGGGGGGGAGTGCCGGCAGTTCAGCACCCGCGCTCGCCCCTGTTTTCAGGAGTGCTAGGCAGTCAGATGCCGCACGGGGTGGTACTACGGTGGCACCTGGCGCATCACCCCGCAGTTCGTCGGAGCACCCCTGGCTGCCACCGCCATCGTCGAGAGCGGCGCAGCGTCCAGTGGTCCACCACACTCACGGAACCGCCCACCCGGATCCGTCGCACACACCTGCAGATGCTTGACATTCTGCTTCCGTGCCTCGTTTCGGGGAACAGGTGGATCATGGGGTGCCTGCCGAGGAGGTCCCCGCTCCGGTGTCCGATTCATCGTCGACCCCTGTTCCGACAACCACGGGCGGTGGTCGGTCTGCCCCACAACCTCCACCCGTGTTGACCGGAACGTTAGACCCTTTGCAGCGCATTCGTGACCTTGCAGTCGCCCAGAGCGCGACACCTGTGAGCCCTGGCGGGTTGTTGGATGCTGGGGTCCTCGGCGGGAGAGCTACGATGGGACGATGTCGGGGCACTTACAGGCAGCAAGCCGTCACGTCATATTATTCGGACCCTTTGGAGCGCGCATGGCATCTGCAAATCATGCGGTTCATCGTCGAGAGCGGGATGCCGTTCAACAGCACGAAGCTTGAAAGCTTCAAACGTATGTTCACGATGATAATCCCGCTAGGGGTTCCAAGGGCGCCCGCGCCTAGACTTCCCTCGTACCACATGCTGCGCACGACCCTTTTGGACGAGCTAGATGGTGAGGTCCAGAAGCGTGTTCGGCCGGTGCTTGACACGTCGAGAGAGACCGGTTGCACAATCATGACCGATGGTTGGACCAACATCCGTGGTCAGACGTTGTGCAACTACCTTGTTGGTACAGAGATCGGGGTGGTGTATGTGTCCACCGACGTCATGCGCGGCAAAAAGGACGCCAGTGCCCTCGCGAACGCATGGTTGAAAAGGGTGAAGTCCATGGACGTTCAATTGAGCGACATCACGGCGTTCGTGACGGACTCCGCTGGGGTGAACGTCGCGGCGATGGAGGCATTCCAAAAAGATGAAAGCGTGAAACACATGTTCTGGATTCCTTGCGTCGCCCACATCATGGATCTCATTCTCGAGGACATCGGCGGGATTGATTGGGTGGCTTCCCGCATTTCTCAAGCGAGGCTGGTTACAAGGTTCTTCAAGCGCCATGGACATGCGAGAGAGGTTCTTGAGGCGCACTCGATGAAGACTCTTCTGCTACCGGCGGAGACGCGTTTAGGCACGAACGTCATCATGATGGAGAGGCTGCGGCCAATTTTCGGTCCTCAAAGAAGGCGAAGTTCCCTCACACGGCCGTGTTTGCAGGCAGGATCCTTCGTATATGGGCGACCGCCTCACCGTGCGAGAGAGCGTGGTCTCGTTGGAGCTTCATTCATTCGAAGTCTCGCAACAGGTTGGAGGTTCCCCGGGCTGAGAAGCTTGTGCGGTGCCACTGGAACCTCAGGCTACTCGATCGACCTTCGTTGTGCGACGATGGTGTTGGAGAGAGGCCCGACGTCTTCGGGAAATGGGTGCATTATTGGCAGGCCGTGGATGACGAGGCAGTCGTGGACCAGCAGCTCGTCAGAGGCACCGGTGTTCTGGCGAAGGTGACCGAGGAGGAGTTGAGCCTCGCCAGAGAGAGGATGCGCGCCATTTCCCGCATGGGAGCCGAGCGTCGGGTGGCGGAGTCGGACAGGAGGCGACGCAGGGCCGGTGGTCGGGGATGTGGCGGCCGTGGACGAGCAGGTGTCGAAGGACGTACACGTGGCGATGCGGGTTCCGCTCCTCGGACTCGGCGACAGCGGACGGATGGTGGCATTC